GGGGGGAAGGGGTCCTTACTGCAAGGGACGCCACTCAGCTTCCCTGGGAAACCAAGCAACAGTCACCCCTGGAGAGGTGAGGAACAGAGCCCCCTGCACCCCAAGGCTGATCCAAGCCAGTCCCTGCAGACTCAGCCCACTCCATGTTCAGCGCTCCTCCGGCCTCGGCAGCTCTCAGTGCACGGGGCGGGAAGCCCACTGCATCTCAGAAGCCAGATCCGAGCATCCAGACCAGGTGCGGACAGGCCTGCTATGTCCCACCCCAGAGAAAGCTTCCCCCAGCCCCTTAGTGCAACCATCTCCCCATGACGGACAGCTAATGAGCCATGCAACACCAAATTTCGGTGATAGCATCCTGCCCCCTCCCCACCAACCTCCCCCTCAGTGTCCTGTCAAGATGCCCACCCCCAAACGTCTCCTCTCCCCACCAGAAATAGTTCTCCAGCCCTGCCGAGTGCTAATTGATGCTCTCGGTGGTTTGCCAGGAAGCCCTGGAGAGGTGCTCTCGTTACAGCTGCTGTTTTTCTGCAACACTTGAGTGCCACAAGCAATCAGAAGGCCTGAACGCAGGAAGAGAGCAAGGGAGGGAGAGGAAAAGAGGTGGAGAGAGGACAGCACTGCACTTCAATCAATGCCCCGAGCTACCAAGCTGGGCAAGGCCAGACAAAGACTCCCCCGCCAACGTTCCAGCTTCAAGCAGCTGAAGAAAGCAGTGAATTAAAGAGACAGGGATCCCCTCAAACACAGGGGGGAAGCCAGGCTGGGGTGACCCTCACAGCCCCCACCCCACGAATCAGCTGGGGGGAGGGAATTCCAACTGAGGAACCCCTTCCTGGGGCTGGTTCATTCACACTGCCCTGAGGCCTCTCTCTAGCACGACCCAGCTGCGGGGGAAGGGAAGGGAACCTGGCACCCCAACTCTCACCAGCTTTGGGCCCCAAGCAGCTCTGCTCATCCCAACGCTGGAGTGAAGGCAGCTGCTTCTAAGAAGGCACCCCAGGCAGGGCGGGAGGCAAGCAGCCTCTGGATTTGCCTCCCAAATCAAGAGACTTGCAGGGCTCTGGTGGGGGCATATGCCCGAGAAAAATGACCCACTACAGCCTACTCAGAGCACGCCCGGCGGGATTTGAGCAGACAGAGAACATCAGACCCACCCACAGGTGGCCAAAAAAGGGTCCCCACATCTGCAGCCATCGCACACGGGACGCACCCGGGGGAGTCATATGGGCCCGAAGAGATGCTCGGTACCTCCCCCTTTATTGCTATCTAATGGGGTGACCCTCATTTGAGCCATGTGCCGAAGGGGGCTACCAGAGATCAGACAGAGGCCACGCAACCTAGCAGATAGGGCACCGGATTGGGAGTCAGGCCAGCGACCTGGGAAAGTCACCTCCCCTCTCTGGACCTCCATTTAGACTGCAAGCTCTTCTGCGGAGGGCCTTTTTGCGTCTGTCCGGCATCTAGCCCAGTGCAGCCCTGATCTCAGCTGGAGCCTGTAAATCTAATGATCCCGTCCTAGATCTCTCTCTCTCACCCACGAACAACAAAGCCAAGAGCCATGTGCTCTCTGCATTCCCCCCCCCCAGCACTAAAAAGGAAACAGCCACTCCCCTCCCCTGATACACACTAGCCCCCAGAAAAAATTTTTTGGCAGCAGGTAGTTTCTGGGAAGGATTTAGCCATCTCCTGGGGCCAGCAGTGATGGATTCTCCTTCCTAATGCACTGATGGGCAGCCAGCTCCTCAGGGAACGCTGCCTCCAATTCGCTCGCGCTCGTTAATGTGCAATTTACTGGCACTTTAACGCTCTCAGCATGAAAAATGATCATGCTGTTTTCAGGGCTTTTTCTCTCTCCTCCCCCCCCCCCCCATCCAATCTCCTTTGCTCGCTATTTTGGGTAGAAAAGTCCAAATCCAGGCAGATTTGAGGGTTTTTCCTGGTACAAATAACATGCCAAAAATATCATCTCGCCGGGATCTGCCTGCAGCTTCTCCCGCCTGGACCACGGCAGGGTTTATAGTGCTACACGCAGCAGCCATTAAAAGAAAAGCTAGCTTCTCCAGCCGCAGTGCAATGACTCCCCTGTTGAATGCTTAGGGACCAGGGCTTCCTTCCCAGTCCGGGAGCCGGCCAGAGAGAAGAAAGCCATTCCAACAGAGCTTGGCCCGCTCACCCCCCGGCCTCTTCAAAGCTCTGACACAAGAAAGCGGCGCGCTCCGGAGTCACACGACACGAGGGAGACACCAGGCAGCCTGGGGAGATGTGACAGGGCTTAACTAGAGCGTCGCGCCCGGTACTGAAGAGTGGCCAGGGTTAAAAGGGATGGGACGGGTCAGTTGAGAGCTGGCGGGATACAGGGCCTTTTGACCGGGTCGCCGGTTCGAAGTCAGCCAGAGGGCAGCAGCGGCGGCGAATCCCAGCACGCGATGGCGACGCCAGAAGAAGCGGATCGCCTTCGGCTCGTTCCGAACGGACGCCTGTAGCCATCACAGCCGCCCGCTGGGCGCTCGAGACAACGGGGTTTTGGGATCCTTCTCGGAGCTTACTGAGAGCAGGGCGGGCGACCCGGCTCAGCGAGACGTGCGTTGGGTGGACTCTTCCTTGGCCGGACCATTCAGCCGCTTGTCCTTTTTATTAACGAGACTCCTTATTGAGCATTAAGTTAACGACGCGCTCTTTATGCCAGCAGCTCGCGGCGTGCGATAAAGCAAAATAAAATAGGGCTTGTGCGGGTTGGCAGAGGCAGCGGGCTGGGCGGGGGGTCAGGGGGGAAGCAGGCAGGGGGCCCAGGGCATTAGGTTGCCTGCTGGGGGGGCGCAGGGTGGGAACGGGGACAAGACCCAGACTAAAGCTCCACTTGCAGCGACGAGCCAGCCGTGCAAAGGAGAGGTCCCATCTCCCCGCAGCACCGATAACCTGCGGCCTTCGGCGCGGGCAGCTCCCATTTCTCACACGAGGGCCATTGGCTGTCAGAGCGCAGACTTACGGGCCCTCGTTAAAAGTGCAGACAGCACGCTGGCAGGCGGCCAGCGGCACCTGGAATCGGCAGTAAATACTGCTGTCTGCGCGGCGCTGCGAGCGAGCAGCCAGATGAAATGGGGGGGGGGGGCGCGGAGAGCAGAGCTGTGTCCGTTTCCCTTCGGCTCTCAGTCTCCTACTCCGGGGGGGTGGGAGGGGCGCGTGAGTCCACCGGGCTGGGGGGACGAGGCGGAAGGGATGTGCCTGGTGAAGGCACACGCTGCTAGACTCCTGTGTAGCCTCTTTAAAAATAGATGAGAAGAAACCTTCTGTCTCAGAGCAGCTGGTAACCCAGTGTGCAGTGCAGCGGGGGGAGGGGGAGAAAAGCCTGACGGCTGGAGTCCCCTCCCCACACCCACCTCTGCTCCCGCGCGGGCTCCCTGATACAGAAGCCGTGTGGCCACTGCGGGTGGCAGGGCAGATCTGGCAGCAATGGGAGAAGATCCAACACTTGGCCCTTCCTGGGCATCACAGGGCCTCAGGCCACTTGCCAGGTCCCCAGGCAGCCCCGGCGTAGTCGCTCAACGGAGCTCAACAAGAGGCTGGTAACGAATTATCTGGCAGCTTCCACCCCGGCTCGCAGAGCCCAGTTCTCACCCGTCTTCCATTCATTGGCTGAGTGCCCAAGGGCTGCCTGGCTTAGCTCAGGGGTCCCACGGCACCAGGTCCCCGGACTGGGCAAGCGGGACGGCAGCGAATGTCAAAGCCCGCCTCCCACAAGTGCTTGAGCGCGCAGGCCTGAAGCCCATCTTCCCCGCATGCTCACTGGGCTTCCCCAGCACCGGGCAAAGGCTCACAGGAAGCCCCTGCCGCAGGGGCGCACGAAGACCACCTCTGTTGGCCAGAACTATCCCCGGATCGCAGGGGGGAGGCGACACTGAGGGACCACCCCAAGGGCACTAGGCAAGTCAGTAGCAGAGCTGGAAATGGAATCCTCCACTCTAACTCGGCAATAGCGGCTCTTGTCTTTTTCCATAGTAGGGGGCTGCCCCCCCCCCCCCAATCCCATGTAACATGGGAAAGGCAGGGTGGAACCCACGCCCCAAGCTGTGTTTTGCATAAGGAGAAAAGCGACAGAGTTGGGTTTATCTGGGACGGGGATGGGCTACGAAGCAGGAAGGGTGAGCCCACCAGGGGCTACCACAGACAGCTGGCAGGAAGACCAGGCATGCCAGAGACTCACCTGTTTGTGCATTTCGATGTTCAGGCCGTAGGACATTTCATAGTACTGCAAGGGAAAGAACACGCCGTCACTAAGGGAGATGCAAGGCTAACGGGCAAACCACCCACTGCAAAGTCCTCTCCAGCACAGGCGTGCGAGGTCAGCCTGACCCCGAATTCTTGCATTATCGGGACCTGCTGGGATCAGAAGATACTGCCCCAAATCTCTCTGCCAGGAGCAGGGCGAGCTCTCCCACACACCCCACCCAATGGAACAGAGAAACAATACAGCAACCAGGACGCTGTCTTCAAACACAGGCCCCACGTTCTAGGCAATTTCTCTTCCAGCAGAGAGGAGAGAGATGGGAAAGGGAAACTAATGAGCAGATTCCAACCCCTTCCCCTCCCAACTCCAGGAATAAGAGCAGAGATGGGGCTGTACCTGCCTGTCAATTCCCTCCCCTCCCCACACAGCGTAGGGCCCAGTAAATCATCAGACCAGCGCTCCCTCCCACCCTCTCCGGCAGCAATAACATGCCGCTGAAAGCCACCGAGGCAGAGCTCAGCTGCACTCATCTCATGAGTGAGCTCACCCAGCCAGATCTCTAGGGGCAGGCACAGCAGCCCAAATATAAACCGGGAGCCAAGGAAACCCAACCCGGTCGGTCTTTCGTTCGCTCCGAACGCTGGGAAAGGGGAGCGCCACCCCGCACCCCACTCACCATGACATAATGTCGCTGGATTTCGGTTTTTTCTGTTGCCAGTTTTTCACATTCTAACTTCAAGCTGTAAAAATAAAGAGCGAGAGAGAGACCCCCATCCACCGCCCCCCACCGAGAGAACAAGGATTAGTCGGCGGCACAGAAGCATAAAGCTTGCGTTTAAGACTCATGCAAAACTTTGGTCTGCCAACCCCTAGCCCAGAAAAAGAGCCACTGGGCAGAATCCATTCAGTCCCATCTGCCAAGAGGTAGGGAACTGGAAAAGGGTGGGGGGGGGATTCAGGCAGGCGCACAGGAAGGTGTGTGTGTCATGGGCTTCCGTGCTCCAAGAAAACAGGTTGCAGGAAGTTTGAATGTTCCCTCATCTGCTTTCCAAATGTAGCAAGCTACAGAGCAGGGGCGGGGGAAGGGGGTGCATTTAGGGTTTGCTTAGACTGGCAAGAGAACAGTCAGGAACCTGGACCCAGATTACCAGACACGCCGGGGGAAAGCCCAGGCCCACGTTGGGATAGAGCCGAAAGCGCAGGAGCTGAGCAGCGTTTCAAGGAACCGAGGTGACTTCTTACACTCTTGCACGTATGGCTCAGTGCCCGTGCCGGCGTGGCGTGCCACTTCCCGCCCACCTAGACCCAATGCCCAGCGTGGAGATAGAGGAGCGTTTTGTTGCCAGCCCAGTTAAAGTGGCACCGCTTCTCGCTGGCGCGGTGGGGCTTGGCAGCGCGTTACCTGTGGTATTGGTTTTGCAGGAACTGGAATTCCTCCTTGATCCGGTCCAAGGTCTCCGGGTAGGTCAGTTTCAGGGACTGAGGGGTCGTGGAAACCGTGCTGGCAGCTGCCGAAGCCACGGCGGGTGCCTGGAGATGAGCCTACGGCGGAGGGCATGGAAGGAAGAGGGCAGTCACCGCAACATGGCCGTGCTATTCACGCAGCCTGCAAGAACCAGGCTCTTGGGAGGGGGGACAACGACCGCAGAAGCCCCAGTCCCAATTCCTGGGGCCACCAGCCCCACACCTGGCTCTGTCACAAGGGAGAGACAGACAGCAGGCACTCACGGGAAGGGGACAGCTGAGGGAGAATGGACACACAGGAAATCAGCTCCTCGAAGGGCGAGCCTTTGCCACCTTTGGTCCCAGCTTGACAGCCAGGGTTTAATAGCCAAGCTGGAGAACACCAGGACGTACCGTCGGAGGGGTATAAAACCAAGCTCCGGCTAAGCGCTCGCGCGTACGCAGAAGTTGTGCCAGTTTTAAGCTGATTTAGCTAAATCAGCGCAACCCTCCTGTGTAAACGCTGGTCATTCAATTTATCTTAGATCCTCTTCCTAAGAGAAACCAGAATAAGAGCGTCCACACCGCCTTTCGCACCGGTTTCAATTCACACTTTAAGCTGTACCAGCGAGGGACTCTCACGCAAAGGCAGAAGCACAGAAACTTGCAACAACCGCTTCCTCCCTCTCCTAGGTGGGGCAATCCAGACCGAGCGGCCTGCAGGGATGCGGGTCAAGGAACAGCCCAATGGTGCTCCACACAGGGCCGTGGGAACGGAGTCTAACCGGGGCACTCACCGGGGGGCGGTTTTGCGGGAACATCTTTGGAGCGAAGCAGGCCTGCAATCCCAGCTTTATCTCACTCCACCACTCCGGTCACGGGATCCTCTCTCAGGGCCCAGGCCCAAGGAAGCCGGCCAGCTCCAGCACGGCTACGGACTCTGAAAGAGACAGGGACAGTCACGTTCCAGCCAAGGAAACTCAAAGGAGGAGAATCCTCTTCATTCCTTCCCTGCCAAACCCCCGCTACCACCAGTCCTACTATAGCCGGCCACAGAGCCATTGCGTCTCATCTTCCCCCATCCCGTGGGAGGAGAAGGTGAGATCCAACCAAGAAATGCTTCTTAAATTTCAACCGGAAGGTCTCTGCCTTACACACCCCTTCTTCATGCATCCCAGTACAACAGTGCCCTCAACCAGAGGTGCCTTCCTCAGCCCCCAACAAATATCTCACCCATATAGTTTGAAACTAGGCCCCATTGGCCCACTCTTCAACACGCCCACACTCATTCAGGCACAAACTCTCAGGCTTCAGCTCACCCATATCTAAATTCCAACTCCGCCAACTCAGACGGTCCTCGCCCAGCTCTGTCATTAAGAACCCACCTGCCACGCTGCACCCCAAGCACCTGGCTGGCCCCCATCACTGAAGCAGCTAGGCCCACCGGGAACAGCTCCCGTGGTTCCCTATGCATCCCCTATGTCCCATCTATGCACCTCGCCTGCAAGCACCTCTGCCAGCCCTGCGCAGGGGAGAAACTCAACCCTCTTTATGTGGGTAAGGCCCTTGACACGGACCGCAGGGCACCCCCCAGCAACGCCTCTCCCTAGCCCAGATCCACGCACCACCGCCACGCGCACATGTCCATGCACGGCCACGGGCAGGCAAGGAACACACCCCCCATCCTTGCAGGATCCCCTGCTCCTAAAGCAAAAACCCAGCAACCCCATCCAGTGATGCCCCAGGCATCCCCCCTCGTGTGCCCCCTCCACGGCTACCCTAGACGATAGCCCCCACTTACGGCCACCCCAGAAAAAGCTCTTCACCAAACATCCTGCCCCCGCCTTGCACCCCAGAAAGCTCACTGGCGAGCCAGCAAGCACCCCCTCCCTTGCACCTCCAAGGAGTGCCCCCCCCAGCTGCTCCCGCCCCCAAGTGCCCCCAACTCTGTCTCCTGAGAACGTGCCCCAACTGCCCCCATCCTTCGCCCCCCCCCCAGCAAGTGCCCCCCCTCACCAGCTCCCCCCCACCTCCATCCAAACAATGGGCCCTGCCCCTCCGCAGCACCTAAGCCCGGCGGGCAGGGAGCGGCCCCCGCCGCCCAGCTCCAGCTCCCGCCCCCGGGGGACTCACCGGGCGGCTGCACCCAGCGCGGAGGGGGCGGCCGGAGTCGGGGGGCTGCCCGCGCGCTCGCTCCCGGCCGGCCTCGGCCCCCGCCCGCTCCGCCGCGGCGGCAGCAGCAGCAGCTTTGCGGGGGGAGCGCGATCAATGAACTAGCGCCAGCTCCACGTGGGGCCTGGCTCGTGCGGGCAATCGCCGAGCCGGCTGGCCAATGGGAGCGCGGCGGGAGCGGCCCGCCCCCACGTGGGGCACGGCCTGGCTGCCGCCGATTGGGCGGCCGGGACCGGCCGCCAGTAGGATGTGTCAATCTGTGGAACGCGATGTAGCAGAGAGGAAGGTTAACCCTTCAAGGGGCAGAAGGGAGCGTCCAGATAGGGAGAGAAAGAGATGGGTGTGTGTGTGTTAGGGTGACCAAGTGTGAAAAATCGGGACTGGGTGGTGGGGTAATAGGAGCCTATATAAAAAAAATATCGGGACTGTCCCTATAAAATCGGGACATCTGGTCACCCGTGTGTGTGTGTGTGTGTGTGTGTGTGTGTGTGTGTGTGTGT